GAGGACACGACTAGAAATCAGCGGTTAAGTTGTATTTACAACACTGTTCCAGAACAGTTCAACCTAAATATTCAGATGTGTCCAGCGCATTTTATGGAGGACTGTTTCCTGATCCTGGGAGAGTAGACTACAATGCCGGCTGTTCTGACTCACAGACTGTAAGTACGTTTTTTATATTTAAAGAATTTGCCACTGACAATTCAAACGCGAGTTTTGAGCAGTGTAGAGTAGCACTTATTGTTTGTCATTTCTCTGATCACAAATGCAGACATGGTTTTATGTTTACGCGGTGCGATGTAACGCAATGCGTAAAAAGACAGTATAATCCGTAATTATGTCCCCACTGGATGCAACAAATGCCTCGTTTATAATGGATTTTAATGTTTTTGTCTCATCGCTCCGGGACACGGCATCACAGTATGATAAGGGGCGTAACATTTCCGTCACACGCTTGAGGTATTCGGCCAATCACAACGCACTGGATAGCTGGCCAATCAGGGCACACCTCGCTTTTCAGACCGATGAGCTTTGTAAAAATCGACGTGTTTCAGAAAGGCGGGGCATAGAGAAGAAACAATAATGTACAGTATGTGGAAAACAATGTGTTTTTTTAACCTTAAACCGCATAAGCACATTTCATTACACCAAATACACAAAATAATGTTCAATTTAGCAACATCATATGACCCATTTAACACTTGACACTCACCACTGAGAAACGTCCTGCTCCAGTCGTGCTTGCGAATTAGTCTCTTGTCGATCAGCCAGTTCAACCGTTTCATCATCAGACTCCGGCTCTAATTGGTAAGGTACAATCGATACCATCTTTTCTATGTATTGACAAGTCTCCAGGGCTGTCATTCTGTCATAGCAATGGGCGTTTCATTTCAGACACGCGCTGTACGCGGTAGACCAATCCAGAGCCAATCTCTCTACGGCTCTGGACCAATCACAAATGACTGCGCCATCTGACCAATCACAGCAGTGAGGGCTCACGGAAAGGAGGGGTTTAGAGAGACTGATTCTTTGAACTGCTTCGCACGGGTCGTTTATGAATAATTTAGAAATTAGGTCAAATTAAATACATTTTTGAGAAAACTAACGTGTTTTTTGACCTTGCATGCATGTAAACCTGTTTTAGGAGACTCATAAAATAATATTAGCAACCTTAAAATGGCATAATAATAGGGGCACTTTAACATCCATGGAATCTCCATTGTACAAAAGATTCTTTATAGTGGGAAAAGGTTCTGTAACTTTTTAAAAAGTTCTTCACATTAAGAAAATAACTGTTCACTCAAAGTTTCTTTGATGGTTCTTCTGTCGCATCACTATGAAAAGCCCCTTTTGACCTTAATTTTTAGGAGTGTACTTTGAATTACATATTTCACATTTTATCCCCAAAAATATAAATGTCCAAACACCCAAGAACCCTCCACATTTCAAAAACATTCCTTTATTATAAATAAATTATTTGTATAAAAAATTGAATTGGCATGCTTCAACCATGGCATTTTCACACTCACAACCCAAGGTTACAGACCCGAGTAGCCAATACAAGAGACAAATGCATTTTCCAATGCAGGTCTGACACTGTGGGACAAGAATGAAAAATTTTCACAACCACAAAATACTTACAATTAGAATAACATGTAACATGGTCGACTCCAATATTTGTTCTGTTTCTTTAAACTTTGTATTTTTTTCTCTTACCCTTTTCCAGTGTCCCATTTCATCAGCTGCCCACGTAAATGGCAGCTTTTGTATCCTTTTTTTTTTTTGGATGGCCGCCTAGGCTTTCTTATAAAATATCCAGGAAAAAAAGTCCAAGAGTCCATCCTCTTGTCCACAAACAACACTGATGTCTCATGCTTGGATTTCAGTCATTGGATCCTGTTTTGTCGGAGCCAGCCAGATCCATGCCAAACCATTTTCAGGATGTGCACTCATATGGCATGATTGGTGTAGCTGACGTAGGTTGTTTTTGTGGATGGTGCTGAAAAAGGAAATAGCCTGTTAAAGAAAACTGCAGTGTATCAGGAAAGAAAAACAAAATTACTGCAAGAGATGAGAGAATTGTGGTATACTGAGTTAATTCGGTTTGATTCTGAGTGACCATCAGAATGAAATTTCCACTTAATTTCATGGATTGAAAAGTATTTTTCTCTTGCTTTCATTTAAAAGTGGGATGGAACAATTGAGAAAGTAATACAATTCAGACATTATTCCCTCAATTTTTGCAAACAGAAAATATGCACCTATACTTTCTGCCATCATTCACCCTTATTTTATTACAAATCCATATGAATTTCTTTCTTCAAAAGGTGAATTTTTGAAGAATATTTCAGCAACTCTGGACAATATTATTAAAAAGTGAAGGCCCTAAAATTATGAAAAAGAAAGCACAAAAAAGTAAAAATGGCTCATATGACTCGTACACTATATTCCAAGTCTTTTAATAGCTTTGTGCGACAATTAGACTAAAATTTCATAGACAAATAGTTTTCATTGCATTGTTTAGACCAGTTCAACTGGTCTGATTTATTCGTATCGCACTCAATCAGTTATTACACATTTTTCATGGTGCATTCAAAGAGACTGCATGAAACGAGAGAGACATTATTAAACATTTCACCTTTGTGTTTCACACAAGAAAGAAAGTTCAGGGTTTTTAAACAACATCAGGTTCAGTAAATTATTAATTTTTGGGTGAAATATTCCTAAACTATGCCAATAATCTCTTAAAGTGATAGTTCACCCAAAAAGTTTATTTCTCTCATCATTTATTTACACTGAAGTTGTTCCAAACCAAACAGCTGATGGTAGCCTTTGACTTCCATAGTATTTTTTCCATACTATGGAAGTCAATGGCTACCATCAGCTGTTTGGTTACCCACATTTGTCAAAATATCTTATTTTGTGTTCAGCAGAAGAAAGAAATTCAAACGACAACTTCAGGGTTAATGAATGATGACAGAATTTAAATTTTTGGGTGAACTATGCCTTTAAGTTTCAGTCACAATTGACTGTTTGCCCTCCTTAGTTACTGTTTCCATCCCTGACAAACAATGCCGCTCTCACACTAATCTAACCAGGTTAGTTAATCTACTCTCCTGTCTGATTTATGGTTAAGGCTAGAAGGGATACAGCTGCGGCTACTGGGCATTAACATTTACATATTTTCAGAGCCAACAATATAACATGAAACCTATGTAAATGGTTTTAAATGGCACATGGCGCCATAGTTTCATCACTTTAGAGCGTCGAAGTGACTGTCTTTTTGCAGTAAAGGACCTGTCATAGTTTAATGAGTGGGAACGCCCTCCTTAGTTACTGTTTCCATCCCTGACAAACAATGCCGCTCTCACACTAATCTAACCAGGTTAGTTAATCTACTCTCCTGTCTGATTTATGGTTAAGGCTAGAAGGGATACAGCTGCGGCTACTGGGCATTCACATTTACATATTTTCCGAGCCAACAATATAACATGAAACCTATGTAAATGGTTTTAAATGGCACATGGCGCCATAGTTTCATCACTTTAGAGCGTCGAAGTGACTGTCTTTTTGCAGTAAAGGACCTGTCATAGTTTAATGAGTGGGAAGATGACATGAAGCGACACGAGGTTAGCTGCATTGAAAACAGATGAGCGCACGTGCATATACAACTCCTTTTTGGGGCGAAGTTCACGGGATTTTGTCCACAGAATGATAAGAGCACAGGTTTTAACGTATTATTTCGTGATGAACATATGATTTGTCGTGATGACAAACAGAAAGCTGTTTAGTTTAAAAGTTCATACATCTCTACACTATCATCAACAAACAATGCACCTGTTTTGCTTGCAAAATTTCACTAATGCGACTTTAACATTTTAAGAATTATCCTATTAATTCCACAGTGCTACTAATGACTAATACCTGTACAGAACTGACTCACAACACTTATTAGAATATTTAATGCTGCTTAAACAGGCAAGGTAATGCAGCATTTACAGTACACAAATTAAACACACTGAGAAACACCAAAACGTGTTTGTCCTCCAAATGACATTCTCTGCTTATTCATTACATGCCACATTTGACTCTCATTACGAACTGGCCCAGTGTTAGAGCCCTTTAGCAGAAGGGTCATGGCACATTAGTGAGGGTCTGAACATTTGCATTAACTTTTACACAGTGCTGTGGACCTGCACATGCTGCCCTTGCCCTGGTTAATGATAGGATCCCTCATGTAAAAGGTAACACCATACTGGCTGCTGAAATACAGTCTGCTGCCATGAGCTTGCAGCCAGTAATTCAGATTCCCTCAGACATAATTTTACACGAGATGTGAATCAAGCCTAAACGTTCTATCTAGTGTTAGCGTCAGACAATGCAGGCAGCATAGCTAATGAATTAGCAATGATACTCTAGTGAATGCATCCTTATCTGCTCCATTTCCTCACAATAAAAAGCTTCAGATGACAAGATAAATACCAAAGAGAGTAAGCAATGCAAACACTCTAGAATAATCAGAGTTATCAGTTCATTAGTACAAAAATGAATGCAATATATGTGGGTCAATGACACTGTATAAGGGAAAAGAATAATAAAAAAAAAATCTAGTTTAAAATGAAACTTGTATTTATGTTGGTTTTAAAAAACTACTATATCATTTTCAAAAAATGTCTTGCTTGTTTAAATTGCTCTAAAAATTTCATATAGTGTAACCATCTAAGCAATAACACATTTTTAGAGCTTGAATACAAGTGAGTAGTGTGTACACATATTATTTTTGTATTTTTTTTGTAAACAACATTTTAAAATATGTATTATTAAATTAGCATTTTTACAAATATGATGACTTATTAATTCGTAAATGTAAAAGTTTTTAGGGAAGTTTACCATTAGTACATTAGTAAGTACATAAATATATGAAAACAAAATCTAATTAAATTTAAAAAAAAAAGTAATTTAATATGTAATTTAAATATCTGAGACAGTGGTTCTCAACTGGGGGCCTAAAGATGGCTTAAAATGATTTAGAATAAGATCGAGGGAAAAACACATTAAAATAATAAAAAACAAGTAAAAATCAACATTTTTGAATAACCAGGGTTCCCACAGTCCTGGACAAGCCATATAAATTTATAAAATCTTAAAAATCCATGGGTAGTTTATAATGAATGTACATTTCTCTAGTTATGCCAAGCTCTAAAATATCTTACCAGGTAGAAATTATGAGTGAAAAATATTTTACGAAAAAAAATCCTTATCCAGTCAATCATGTAAATTCATTGGTTAAAAAGAGTGGAAACCTTGAAGAACATTTGGCTCTGAAAACGTCTGGAATCCTGAAATTTAATTTACATAAACTAGGAGTGTTGGATCTTCCAGCATCTTGTGGGCAATGGAGGGCCTGGAGGTTGAGAACCATAATAAAATATTAAGCCAAAGGTTTTCTTTTCAAAAATGTATTTTTCCATCTTTATGGTATCAAGAGATTTTTATAACCTTGATTTTTTTTATTTTATGCCCTTAGAAAAATCTCAAAATTAATTTTAATAGAAATTAAGGGGGAAAAAGCATCACGTCATTGACCCACTTGCCACATTAACATTAACAAACTGTGCTTGATAGAGAAGACGTCTGTACTCACTACTATTGTCCACACTCTCACAGAGCTCAGTTTTCACCTCTCCATTGGGCCGTTCACTGGCCAGCTGGCTGAGCTTGTTTGTCATGGTGGCAGCGGTGACGATGGCCTTGAAGCTGCGCTTGCGTTTGGGCACGTTCTGTTCTGGGTGCAGGATAATGATGTAGACTTTGGGCATGTAGAGCATCCCCAGAGACACGGATGCTGAGAATGAATGAGCCCAGGGTTTTAGGTCAGGGTAGGAGAATCTAGAGCACCGCAGGAGGGTGTCACTCCGTACTACTGCTTAGATGAGACTGAAATAAAATTAACTGTATTGCTTACTGACGTGGACCAAGAGGTAAACACATCAGCAGAGTATTTCATGTACTGTCTCTCCGAGACAACAGAGCACTCCATCCTGTCCAGGAAATTTGACTGCGCATAATGCTCACTGAATCTCCCTTTGAATTGTAATTTAATTCAAGTCTAACCTTGTGACCCTGCTACCACTCTTTTGTGCTAGTCTCCATACTGCAGACAGTAGAAGGAATGACACTCACTGAAAAAGAAAATTGAGAATGTACTATAGCAGCTGTTGCAAAAGAGGTACTGCATTTAAATTAAAACAAGTTTTAAAACGAGTTTTATGGCCTTTAATATTTCTTCGAGAATGGTTATGTATTTTAGCTGGACCCTAGGCTAGTCTGATGGCTGGTTTTAAAGGGGTTTTGGCAACTTCTGTTCAGGCTGGGAGACTATCTTGGAGACCATCTAAATTGGCTGAAAACACCAGCTAGACCAGCTTTGCCAAGTCTGATTTAAGTTAAAGAAGCTGATTATTTGGGAAATATCTGCTGATGATGTTCTAAAAGATGTTCTTCAAGAAGACTTTGATATTTTTCATGTCATGTCAAATGCCATATATCTATGGAGCCCCTAAGGGGACGTGGTGATGGGAAGACTATGAGACTGGAGGAAAAATGATGTTTCAATGTTTTTGAGTTCACTTGCAAAAGTATTGCATTCCCCCAATAAACTTTGTTTCCTCGCAAAGGCATTGAAATAAAGTTTTTCCTCTCAGCTCATATTATTTTCTTCACAAAAGGTTTGAGAGTAAAATGCAAAGTTTTTCAGAGGGAACACAAAAGTTTTGCAAGAGAACCTAAAGGTACGGTGGAACGAAAACGTTTTGCAATGGAACATCTCGGGTTACGTATGTTACCATGGTTCCCTGAGAAAGGGAACAAGACACTGCATCCCTATAGTGTCCACAAGAGGAAGCAGTGCGAGTTCCCATTTGAAGGGGAACATCTTGGTTTACTCATGTTTGGTTCCCCGAGAAGGGGATTGAGACACAATGTCCTCTTGTGGACACTATAGAGATTCAGTGCGATTTCCCATTCGAAGGGAAACCCAAAGTTTCTTGGGGCAATGGAAATGTTTGTGAGAGAATGCAAACATTTTGTGAAAGAACCCTAAAGATCTCGGGGGAACGCAAACGTTTTGGGAGAGAACGCAATAATTTTGAGAGAAAACCCAAAACTCAGAATCGCTGTAATATAATTTTCCTTACATCTCATTACTGTCTCATTACCATGTCCCTTTAGGGGCTCCATATACTGTATATCATAAAGTGTGACAGAAACAAATTCCAGAAGCTGAAAAATGGTTCAATTAAACATTTCCCTTTCTTTGTGTTTTCAGTTAGCCATTAGCAAGCTAACAGCTTGGCCTATTATCTTAGCTTAGTGCTAGCTGCTTAAAAAATCTCCAATGATTAGTTTACTCTTTCTTAAGCCCAAAGAATACTTCAGTTTTGACACAAATGCTTAACATATGCTACAGTCAATCACAATCATCTTATTATAACTGTAAAAATGTTGCATTTATCTTTCAACTCCCTCACACAATCTCTTTTCAATGCAGACATCTGTTGTTCTTGTTGTCTCCAGTAGATTGTTGTTGTTGTTTTTCCATCTCATCCATTTCTTTTTTGTCTGTCAATCAATGAGCAGTGTTGCCAACTTGGGCTTGACTCTAGGTTTACAAAAATGAACCATGGTTTGCTTTGCCATACTTTCAATGCTACTGTACCACTAGGATGAAACGATTTTATAAAGCATTCCTCATTTGTATGTCACTGTGGATAAAAGCGTCTGCCAAATTAATAAATGTAAATGTATGCTTTTTCAGCTACACCCATTAATAACAGGTGCATTAAATCAAGCACAAAGCCATGCAATCTCTGCAGAAAAACATTCAAATCGAATGAACGCTGCTTAATTTTATATATTTGCAGCAAAATTAGCACAAATACATTGCTTTTTCAGCTACACCCATTAATAACAGGTGCATTAAATCAAGCACAAAGCCATGCAATCTCTGCAGAAAAACATTCAAATCGAATGAATGCTGCTTAATTTTATATATTTGCAGCAAAATTAGCACAAATACATCAGGAATATACTGCATATCCCTATAGTGTATCCTGAAAAGCTCTTGAGTGTGTTTTTATATTTTTATGTGCCTATTGTAATTCACAGCGTCAGTCAGCAGTACCAAAACAGCAGGGGTAAAAAAAGAAAACACACTCTCCAAAAGCCATACGAAGAAGTAAACTCCATTTAACTAAAGATCTTTGGGGAGCTTAAGTGGTTTAAAAATCAATGCCACAGCATGCGAGCGGTGAACGAATAAACACAACCAACTATATATAAACTGGAACTCATTCAAAATGTCCGTAAAACTGCAGATGACTCATCTAACTCTAATTACCCCCGGCAGGCATCCTTTCCTCATCTTTTCATCTGTTCCCATCTATTCAACTGCACTGCAATACAAAGTGAGGGTACTGACAGAAAAACCAATTGGTATAGTTCCTTCCCTCACTCCAGGACGTTTAACACAAGCAATCCCAATGCTAATGTACAATCGGCTCCCTTCAATGAGGAAATGCACAAGCATGCTGAAGAAACAGGACCGTTAATGCAGAAAATAAGCAGAAACGAGGAGGCGCAAGGTTCAAATTATACGCCATGCAGCTGTAAAGAAACTTCTGAGTTTTAATGAGCACAGAGTGAGGAGATGTGAATAAGAGAGACATGCCTCAATAAAATACTCATATCTGTGTCCTCATATTGCGGTTGCTCATCGCAATAATCTTTTTAACATCAGTGAGGGCAAAAGAAATAAGCCCGGGAGAGATAAGGGAAACGGGAAATACGCTCGGCGGATTTCTTTCCATTTGGACTCTTTTGTCATGGAGAGGAATGAAAAAGCGGTCTGATTTGAGGGAAACAATTTCCTCTTTTACGTAACTTTTAATTTAATACCACCCTGAGGGCCAGCTGTTTACCACAACGTTTGTTTTCATCATGTTTGTTTCTCAAAATGAATGCTAGAGTGCTTTTATGTTAAATTCTGCAGTTCCGCTAATCCCTCGTGTGAAGCCACCTCGCGGAGTAAAAATAGCCTATCATAACTCACTTATGCTAATCTGACTGAGATATGCTATCTAGCAGATGAGAATTAAACACTGGAAAAGCTGAGAGGAAGATTTTGGCATTTTTGTACTATATATAGGCTAAAAAGCTTGATAATTTGCTCATTTAAAACGTTATGTAAAAAAAAGGCTAAATGACACTGCAGCTCAATGAAAAACCTGTATAGTTAAATGGGTACGATAACAAACGCCATACATTTGATAGCCAGAAATATGCTGTATGCAAACAGAGACACAAGTCTTGGCCAATGCATTGTATTGCGTAACTATAATGTTAACAAACTTGTGAGAAACCTGACTGGTGAAGAAGACAAGCTGTACTATAGCACCCCATGTGGCTAATCTTGGTTTGCTGTTTGCCGTGCATACTTGTGTTGGATTATGAACTGTGTTTGGACATATTTTCAGAACACAACATGTGAAATTGAGCTTGTTGTATTGCTCACAGACCTAAGGTTTTTGCGCATTAAGGTGCGTCACATAAGCAAAATTTTATTGCCAAAAAGATCCACTGTCTATTGTTACTAGTGTAGCGATGTATGAAGCACAGTTCACAAAGTCACTTTCAAACCAAACAGCTTTCTGTTGGTCAACTTGAACCTGTTGTGAAATTTGCGCGGGGATATTTTTCCTGATCGTGTGGATCCCAATTGCCAGTATTTCGCCGGCAAAAAAAATTACTGAACAACAGATGTGTGTACCTTAAGTGTGTGGTGTTTTAATGAAGGTTCAATGCTTAACTGTGTTTGTTATTCTTAAGAGGATGTTACAGCCTACGCAACACCATTTTCTTTTTTTAAAGCATTTTGGCCATTTATTTACATGAAAACGGTGGCCTTAAAACACAAACTTTTGAAAACGGGTTTCAAAGTGCATGTTTTTGAAAACAATACCAATATCATCTTTTGTTTAAAGTATAAAAATGCTAATTTGTGAAAATGGCGACATCATGCACATGCGTATTACTTTGTGTTTTCTCAATAATTGACAACCAAAAGAAAATGGCAGACTACAGGACTGTGTTTGTGCATGCGTAATACAGCATTTTTAGATGTTTCAGTGGTTCCAAGTGAACAGGGAACATTTTGACCTATGTTGTCGTCTGTACACAAAACTTTTCAAAAACACTATGGAAAAACTTTTACATTTTTAGTACATTGTTGTCGTGTAAACGTACCCTAAAAAAGCAGCTTCAAATGACCCACATTTTAAGTGGGTCGATGCGGCAAAAATTATTTACCAACTGCGTGGTTCTTACTGGATTTTGCCTGTGGAAATTTTCCCAACAATGGTAATTGTGACCACACCTTAATATTTGGGTCTTAAATAATATTTGAATTATCCTAACATATAGTCTTTGCACGTTCCTCTTGTAAACATTGGGCTGGTTCTCATGTGTGACCTTCCCAACATGCATACTTCTCTCGTGAGGTTGTGAACTAAACCAAGCTAAATGAAGGCGAGAATTTGTAGGTAAAAAGTATATGATTTTTTAAATTTTCATTTTAAAAATGACTGATCGTTTTGCTAGAGAAGAACCTTAATTGTTGGTTGGGGTCATGTAGATTATGTTAATGCTGCCCAAATATAGATTCTGGACCGTCAAAAATGGTCTATGTTGAGCCCTGTTTACTTGCATTAGACGGAGAAAAAGCCTGGAATTTTTCCCTCCAAAATATTAATTCCTCTTTGGCTGAAGAAACAAAGTAATACACATCTTGGATAGCTTGGGGGTGATTAAATAATCAAGAAATTTGTCAGCGC